ATGTGTGTGTGAGAGAGAGAGAGAGAGAGAGAGAGAGAGAGAGAGAGAGAGAGAGAGAGAGAGACACAGAGACACATTTACCAGTATTGACTTTCAACTTGTCAAGAGATAAAGCATTCTAGAAAGGGCTCAATGAGAATATAACTGTAGAATCCAAAGACCCTGCAGAGTTTGAGACAAAGATCTGACATGACTCAAATCTGGTTCACATGTTTCTCACATGCTGGTTTCAAGTGACAACTTGCATGGGAGGAAGCATTCTCAGGGTGCAAATTAGTCCTCTCTGCTTTGTGTCATTTATAGCTGTGCTGCCAAACTTCACCAAGGTTCTGAAAACTCTTGTGTATTCTGTTTAGGAAGGCATTGTGGAAATTACAGCTCCTTGTTATGCCTAGTTGTACTGAAATGTGCAATATCCTAGCACTGAGAGGAGCTGCTTGCTGTGACGGCTAAGCATATTGAACTGGGACGCAGGAGTTCTGGGTTCTAGTCCCCATCTAGCCAGAAAATTCACAGCCCCACTTTGGACTGTCGCTCACTCTCAGCTTAACCTACACAGAGTTGTTGTGAAGAAAAACTAGAAAGGAGATCCTTGTAAGCCGCCTTGGTTTTCTTGGAAGAGGAAGAAAGGTGGGATATAAATATAATAGTAGGGAGATGGTGGCAAAGAAGAAACAAGAGCTTATACAAGGCATCTGAAGAGTAGTTACTCACAATTTAGAGTACAGCCCTCTGCAGACAACCACCTATAGTCCAGGTATAACTAAAGTACCCTTGTTTTAAGATGACCATACCTCTGTGACAATGATGGACAAATCAAGGCTGTTTATGGTCTGCAATTTTTCCAGAGCACCACTGAACCTCTGCATGGGAGCCACTGTATGCTTCTGGAAATCCACATTGACTCTAAAAGCAAATATTAAACACAATAAACAGAATAAAAGTATCACTGAACTGCATGATTTGGAAAATGACCCTCCACAATCATGTTGCAGACGCTGCCCTGGGAAAGAAGATCACATGCCCACAATGGTCTTGGGTTCAGGTGCTCCTGCATCGGGCTAAACTGTCTAGGTCCACCTTGTAAGCAAGCCCACAAGGGTTACTAGCCTGCAAATTTGACTTTCACCTGGTCAGAATCCAACCAAATTTGACTTTCTCAAGACCTGGTGAAAGCCAGATCCTCAGCGAACAGCTTATAACCCTAACCTTGCCAACACTTAATGACACTTCTCTTGGTGGTATATAATACAGATCCGATTAATAACTCATTTTTTATGTTTTGAAAAAATGCATTTTTGAGGAAATGCCAGTTTCCCATTTCATGCATCCACATTTCTCCTCCTTTATTTAGTATTCGCATGGGCTTGTTTTTCAAGACTCAAATTCAAATCACTAATTTTTGGCTAAGTGTTTTGGGATGCCATACAAACACAAAACACCAGAATTCAGCATCTTGAACATCTGGGCCTTTGTTGACATTTAAAAGGTAAGCTATAAGTCCTTGTGGCTATTGAGCTTGATAAAGTATATAGATAAAATTCTCATGAAATCACCTAAGCCAAAAATAATGGGCTTCACAGACTTGGGCAGGGCTTTGGTGTCAATTTAGTGGGACTTCCTCAGTGCCAGGACAAAATTGGTTCATTTTGCATATTTTATACCAGCTGCAAAATAGAACTTGTCTTGGGACACAGCTCCAGCACTACAACTGTGCTCCAGGCAAGCACAGTTGAAGCGTTCCTGATCTGAAACACAATGGTTCTTGGTGAGATTTATAAACAAAAGCTAAACTCCTGAATACCATACCGTGTGCCTCTCACAATGGCAGCTGCTACTCCTTCCATTTTCCCTTCAATCTCTTCAGGGAAATGTACATTCAGCTCAAGAGGAATCCTCAGCTGAGACATCTTGAGGGCCATATATACTGGAGGAAGCGTTTTAAAGCGTTCTGTTGGATTCCGGGAAAATTCGACAAAGGCTCTAGAAATTAACAAGAAGAGCAACCTAAAAACTGTGTTCTGAGGACTAGCGCTGCAAAGGGACAGCTGCAGTCCCTCCATAGCAAGTGCTTGAAAAATCTCTTTCAGCCTAGGGACCAAAAGTAATTTTAGAGACTGCCTTGGGAGCCATATTGCAGAAGCAACCCAAACGATGTTTAGACAGAAAAGGTCTCTGATTCCTAGCATGCCCCAGGCTTTTTCCTGGCATAGGCTTTTTTTCTGTCTAAGTATGCTTAAGATCGAGCCCTAAGGCCCTTGCAGCCAATAAGCAAGCCACGAGAGAGACATTTCAAACTTTCAGAACTGGGGCAATCAGAAACACAATCTGGGAACAACACCAAACAACAAATGCTTGTGGGAAAGGGACGTGGCCCCTGGGAAAACCTCAGAGGCCAAACTAGAACTTTCAAAGAGCTTTCAGGATCATCTGGGAATGGACGCCAATCCTTGTGGAGCATCTGGAAATGACCACAGTCCCTTGGAATGGAATGCTGGGGGAAGCTAGTACTGAAGAAAGAGTCCTGTCCTCTACCTTGATGCAAATTTTTTTCCAAGAGCCTAAAGCAAAATGGCCTCGGCTATATGAACTCTGAAGAGGCTTCCTATTAAGCTGATGCCATGGAATTTGCTATAATAAAGGGAACTCTCTGATTTGGAGTATTGTGAGTCATTAATGCTGCACTGTCTGCTTCAAGGGTTGGGTCCTGGCAGTTTCCCACAAAATGTGACCCAGTTTTGGTGCTCAAACCAGTAAAATTCAAAGACTTTAAAAGGAGACTGCAGAAATATTACCATCTCTATGCATGGAATATCTTCCAAAAGACAGGTTTAAGCAGGCCCTTAGCCAGAACTTTAGTTATGTGCACAGGAAAATCATCCACAGTCACCAGGTACAGCAAAGAACAAAAAGGCTGCACCACAGCAGAGAAATGCAGCAAACAGGCCGGCATGTTGCTTCAAGTGTAGGCATGGCCTTGTCAGCTGAGATATGCGATGCTCTGTTATTGCTACCCCATTTGCAATGGGGAAAACGGGGAGAGGATTTTACCAGTGATAGCCAGAAGATTGCAAAACGGAGCACAGGAGGCAGGGAAGGTGGGTAGAGGGCCACTGAGGAAATGGAAATGGCTTGGTGGCCAACGGCCGGCAGGAGCTATTCTTATTTTTCAAGGTGCAGGTGATTACAGAGTGCCACTTTAAGTATTCCACCATTCTGTCAAGCTGGTGGACAGCAGCAGGAAAACGAAAAGTAGGGGAGTGGAGGCAGCAAAAAGGTAGAACCGTTCTTACCTTTTGCTTGACCACTTGAATAGGGGGGGAAATGGCCTGAATGTTCTTCGGGTGAGTCAAAATGAATTTTCTTCCGCTGGCTGGCACAAGTAACAAATGTGTAGGATGTGGATGAAAGAGAGCAAATGCCTCTAAACATTCATTTCTGCGACCCCTAAAGCAATTCAAAATGCTTCCCTCTCCCTGCAATGTTTGACTCTCATTAATATAGAATAAAAGAAAACAGCACATTTTTAGCCTTCACGACTGCAAAGTTATGCTTGCAAGTCTGCAGAAAAGACTTCCCAAAAGGGCAGAAGCCACACAAATGTGGGAACAGGTGGTCTGGGAAAAGATTTCAGCACCTGGTTTCAGAGCTGGCTGGCCTACCTAGCACTGGCAAAACCATGCTAAAGAAATGAACTCACTTACTTGGCCCCGTCATACGAAATGGATTTTACTTGGCCACATTGTCTAAACAGGGATTGTAACTGTTTGTGGTAGAGGAAGCCGTAGGGGGGGATGTTCTTCAACTGTAAAGAAAAAGGTACAGAGATATAAGGCTGGTTTTCCAATTTTAAAGCAGGTAGTTCAATCTGTATTATTATCAAATGATGGAAAGCCTTTTTTTTACACTACGCATTTCAAGAATCAGTAAAGGTTTACAAAGGAGCACCCACAAGTTGCAGTGGCTTGAGGCAGACCAGAAAACAAAGCCTTACACTTTCATCAGTTAATGGATACTAGGGAACACTGTGTGAGAGAGATTTAGCTGGTTAGTTCAAGACAGAAATGGGAAATTCAGCTTGCCTCTCCCCAGCCTCTTCAGACGCCTACCAACAAAGTTCTGCCGTCTGTCTCCTCTTTTCCTGCCAAAAGAACATTGGCTCTCTTGTCCCTGAATCCCCTGGAAGATTTTTTTTCTGGCTAGATCATCTTTCTGTCACTATTTCTTGCCTTTTCTACCCTCTTTTCCATACATTTTCCCTCAGCTCCCTCTAATCTCCTTCAGGCCACAAACAAGCATCCTTTTCCTGGGTTAAATTCTGCATTCATATTTCATCCTTGTATTTAATAAACTGAGCATAAACTTTGACACAAGTGGTTTCATTTCTCTTTAAGTGCCCTCAAATCTGAAAGTTGGGTGTCTGATACAAATCTTGGTCTTCCTCAAAGGAAAAGATATACAAATGAGATGAATAAAAAGATGCAAATGTGGACCATCGTAAGCCATTTCAAATATATTGCAAAAGAAAAAGAAGAGGAAGAGGGAAAGATGGTAGCAATCAGCAGGACGTACATGGTGCAAATAGCTGAAAACACAATCAACATACCACCACGGTTGTTTTGGGATCTTTGCCTGTCAGTTCCCTTACAGCAAGGTCTTCGTCATGGTGCCCAAAAGTAAAATAATTTGGATAGAAAGCTCCAGCCATGACCACCTGAGAAATAAAGAACTACTGAAAGGTACAATTCTCCCCCTGCAGCCCATTTCTCTCACTGCAGTGACCCGTGGGTGATCAACGAAACCAGAGAATCACACTGCTTTCTACTTTAGTTTCACACTCTGCTGCCTTACAGGTACTATGAGGATAAGTGCCCTTCCTTGCACCTAGCTGTGCAACACTGACAACTGCATTGACTACTGCAGTGGTGGCGAACCTCTGGCACGCGTGGCACAGCGGGCAGGCAGAGCCCTCTCTGTCGGCACGCAAGCCAAGTTGCCCCAGCAGCCGAGCATCGGATAACAGCGCACATAGGAGCCATGTGCAGGTGTGGAAAGGAGCAGTGGTGCCAGGCGATGACATCACAAGCCGCGACTCATTAGCTCACGACTTTCGCATGGCCGGTCAGTGCGCTGCCAAGGAGAGGGAGGGGGGGAGGGGGGGAGGGATATTCTTGAACTGGCTGAGTTGTTTTTTCTAAACTAAAACCTCAGTATTCAGGTTTTATTGCCATGTTGACACTGCAATAAGTGGGTTTTGGGTTGCAGTTTGGGCACTCGGTCTCTAAATGGTTCACCATCACTGGACTATTGGGAGGGGACCCCTCAGAGTGGCTCATCTGGAACCTCCTTATGGTCTTTTCAGCACCCGGTGAACCTTTTTGTTGTTGTTAAAACAGCAGAGAAAGTAATTGGCTCTATGCGGTCCAGAAACAACTTAGGTTTTTCCTATGTGGCTACCTGCCTAACTCCCAGAAAGGTTATATCCATGTAACTAATGCAACATCCATAGAAAAGAAGAATTTGCTCCCATATTCAAAGAATATATGCAAGAAAGAACAGGAACCACAGTGCTTATGCACCCTCCTTTAATAATGGCCCTGTGTTTGTGAGTTTGCAAATTATACTGGCAAACCAAGTGGAGCCTTATCACAATTTTTAAATCCCAGTCTGAAATCAACTTGCACGCATTTTACCTTGCATCCCGTGGATTTTCATGGGGATACACATGCCTTTTGCACCCAATAAAGTGCACTCTGCATTTCCAGCTGGCTCACCTGCAAAATGAAACGCTGCTTATGCTCATGCTCGCAATCCATGGCTGGGGGGCGAGTGCTGATGTGCATATTGAAGGCCCCGACTCTTCTCTTCAATTCCTCATACAATTCAGCCACCTAAACATTGCAGTTCTACATTAAAACACACCATGTTGCAAGAACTTCAAAAATAAAATCTCACAAAAGCAAAGCACGTATTTTAAAAACCCTGAAAAATGCCTTACAATTTTCTATGTCCTGAGCAGCCAACATGTGGGCCGAATGGTCCCCCTGCAGGCTGAGTCTGCAGACCATTTCTTGGCTTTTTAGAGGGAAAGCGCACCCCAATATTTGGCCATTTTTGTGGTGGCTATTCCTTCCTTTACAAAGCTTCACACCTTTCTTTTCCCATGAAATATGCCAATGGCAGCACTTAGGGGCTACCCAAATTCTGCATCATTTGGAGGTTTAAAGAATGGCGGCTAGCAACGTTTTGCTGTCACTGACATCACCAATAACAGCAAAATACCAAATTGCAATGCTGGACTTAAAAAAGTGGAAGATCAGCACACAAAGATTCTGTTCTGAAGAATGATTCAGGATGAGAATTGGGGCATGACCCTAAGCACCAGGCAGTATTGCAGTGCTGGCACTAATCGCACTATGCTACTGTGGGATTATGCTGGGACACTTCATTAGTGCAAGAGCTGCAGCACCACCTTTACTCTTGGTACACTTGAAAACGCTTGCTCTTAAAAGCGGCAAGCTTTCTCTGTATGCTGAGCTGAACACACTGGCTCTGCCCAGACAGCAGTTTGTACAACTATCTCTGTGCTAAATCAAAGCCCTTATTCAATTGGGAAGCTTGCTCCAAGTGAAATCTAAGCAGACAGTTAAATTCTCCAAAACCTCCCGCTGTGTTCTCTTTCAGCCTGCTACCTGCTAAAGAAGGAAGTATTTCTATGCATCTCGGGCTCTGCCAAGTACACAGCACCATAGTTCAAACATATTTGTGTTGGTTGCCACAGAAACGTGCAAGTTCTGTGAAGTTATATATTCCACAGATTGCTATGGGCCTAATTTTTAAAAGCTGCAAACCAGCCAGAGGTGGGGTGGGCCTGAGGGAGAGGGAAGAGCCAGAACTGGTTTAGGGCAGCAGTCCTCAGAGGCTATACTAGCTGTGTCTACAGTGGAACCTTGGCTCACAAACTTAATCCATTCCAGGGCTCTGGTCATGACCCAAATTGGTCATGAGCCAAGTTAAATTTCCCCATAAGGTTCAATGTAAATAAGGTTAATCCGTTCTGTAACTATTTTTTTTTAAATCAAAAATGTGAAATAAAGTGACAACAACAAAGATCGCAACCATCTCCCTCCCCACCCACCCCAGCACGACAGAGATCGCGCCTGTCATCCCGGCACACACCCATCATCCTGGCGCTCGGGGGGGGGAGATGGGCGTGATCATGGGCACACTGGGGGAGGAAGAGACGGGCGCATATGGTGCTCTGGGGGAGGGAGAGATGGGTGCGATCTCGGCCATCTCCCCCCCCCGCCCCCAGCATGATCGCAGCCATCTCCCCACTCAGGGGTGGGGTGGGGAGATGGCCGTGATTGCACCCGTCTTTCCTGCAGGAGCATGCCTCTGATCAGGCCCGCCTTCCCTGCACAAACGGAACAGCGATCGTGGCCATCTCCCCACTCAGGGCGGGGGGAGGAGATGGCTGCAAACTTGGTCACCACCCAAAGCGGTGTTCACGACCCAAGTCAAAATTTTTCAGAAATTTTTGTTCATGACCCGATTTGTTAGTGAACCAAGGCATTCGTGAGCCAAGGTACCACTGTACTTCCTTGATGAAAATGGTTCTCCCCCAGCCGTTTGCTCAAGATGTGGTGGGGTAAAAGGGAAGACCAGGAACCCAGTCATGCTTTTTTTCATGCTCATTAGCAACCCAAACCATCTTGTCTCCATCTCCCTCTCTGTCTTCTTTTCCTTTTCCTTCCTGGCTCTTTATTTCTTTTCAGTGCCTCAAAAATGTGCAACTGCGGCCCTAAATCTCTTTGCTATTATGTTTTGTCAGTGTTTTGCAAATATGTCCCCCTACTCTCACAGCTGTCCAATGTGTGTAATGGGGAGAACAAGCCACAATCAGGTGTGCTGGGGGTTGTTCCATGAATAAGCAATCCGCCATGGCTTATTTTGCAGGGTGGCTTAGCATGGCATATGAACCTGCCCACTGTTTGCTGCTGGGTTGTGCACTCGTTGACCACAGCAAGGCTCACATGTAACAACAACCCACAATTCAACCTTGGTTCCAGATTGATGTTAATACCCATGGTTTAGTTTCATACACACACACATAGGTAAAAAACAGGTGTAAGACCACAGGGGGTAAAAGTGTAGACCAAAAGCAAAGGCATATTCAATTTACCTCTCTAATTCTTTTGATATGAATGTAGTTGGAACGCCCCCAGTCTAGTTCATCCTGGGGGGAGAGAGTTATAAATGTAAAAAATTAAAATAAGCGGAAATCAAAATTTGCAGTCAAAAAAGCATGCAAATATCTGCAACAGGTTGTCATTTTAAATACTCTGAGTATGTGACTTGAGGGGCAGGTATCAGTCCCTGACCAAAACAGTTTTGGCAGTCCAGCAGAGAACAGGCCACAGGGAGCAAGCAACCATATCCCAACAGTACCCATCTGGATGCACTCACAGGCTTAACCTGTTTTAATAAATAAATAAAATAAATAAATAAAATAACCTTAACTTCCTTTGGAGGGGCTCTGCCAGCAGATCTTTTCTTACAGCAAACCTCCATGCAGCTCATGTTAACGGTCCAAACTTCAGGTCACCTTACGAAAGACACCTCATAACGGACACTAGACTCCCAGAAGCAGGCTAGGTTGTGTCAACTCATCTCTAGTTTGCTAGTCCCACCACCCAAAAGAAGCTACCTGCAAAGGCCAGGAAAAGCCAAATAGCTGCCCCAGATTTCAGTAGCAAATATGATCAATGTCCCATGGACACTTGACACCTGAATTAAGAATAAGCAGAGCTGTGATGATGCCACAAGAGTCCCCAAACAGGCTGTGGGAGGTAGCAGCCCAGTTTAAGTCACATGCGTCGCTCAGAGGAATTAAAAAATCCATACTGAGTGTGCTACACTCTCTAAATGAGCAGAGGGCACCCAAAGCAAGGTAAAAACCTTCAAGTGATGGGACAACATAACCCTCTGAAAGGCTCCTGAACTAGAAAGCATCTGATTGTTCAAGGTACAATTAATTTTCCTCTATCCACATAATTTCTTTCTGTCCTGGATGAGAGCATACAATGTTCTTTCAGAAGCTGCCCACCTTTATGATTCTAGAGCAAAACTGGCAATACTTAAAGGAATGCTGGCTGTAGTAAAGCTTGTGTTATGATGCAGCAATATAACTTCCCAAGCGGAGGCCTAAATCAGCTGTGGAACTAACCTTGGGGTGTCTAAGTTTTCCCGTTTGCCTGTTTTCCCGCCACTCCTAAAATTAACAAAAAGGTGAAGGTTTTAAATACATGCACACATTTACTTGTACTGAAACAGTCTCAACGCAATATGCCGGGGTGGCCAAACGAAGGCTTACAAGTCAAATGTAGCTCTTTGGGTTCATTTTGTGGCATGTGGAGGGCTCAGACCCCCCCCCCCATTTTCCCACCAGTTCAGATCCCAGTGATGGCACGGGCATGCTGGGGCAAGCTCTCATCAGGCCGCCATCCTGTCCCACTCTCTTCCTGAGGCCCCACAAGAGGTCTCCTGGGAGCTCACCCCAGCCGTGCCCCACATCGCTCCTGCTGACTTTAAAAAGCCAACTTCGAAAGATCCCCCTTCCTGAATATGGAGCGAGTGAGGACCAGTAGCAACTCCAAAGAGAATTTGCGTTGGTTATGTGACAGCCCCTGAAGATGGCTATCCTTACTGCGATTAGTCCCTCCTGCAGCTCCTTCAAAGGTCCCAGATGGAATTCTAACTTGAAAACCGTGTCCTAACAAAGAATTCTCAGCACTTTTCACTAAGCAGTAATTGCCAGGATCTGGTCTGTGACAATAGTAAAACAAAATAAAATCCTACTATTTTGATTCATATGACACTTGCTTTGAGTAGTTCCTGTTTCCAAAGGGCATCCCACATTGCTCCAGAGATCCATGTGTCTTATCATGCACATAAAAAAATCATACACTAATAAAAACGCACTTTCATAAAGTCCTAATTAGTAACAGCAACAACAACAATTTGTTCATGTCTTGTAGCTCTCAAACATCTGACATTTACCCTTTGTGCCTCTTCCACTGAGCAAGTCTGGTTACCCTTGCAATATACTGATGTGCAGGAGTAGCATAATCTCTCAAAATAACTGTGGGGTTGCTATTATACACAGCTGGTATTTTTAATTAATTAATTTAAAACATTTCTGTATTGCCCCCTTCCGTTAATTTTTAGGCCAGTTTACAATAGCTGATAGAACAGCTGTCACCGCTGATACAGTTTTTAACAGTACAATAAAATGGGCAGCATTAAAGCAAATCAGAACAGAACTGAAATGAAATACATCAGAGGTTTATGGCCTGGGAAAATTAACAGGATAAAAGCCATGCGGGATGACCAAGGGCTCATCGGTGCAGCAATCTAGTCCTACAGTGGCTAACTGTACAACCCACAGGCAGGATTTGAGTGCAAGAGCACCCTCCTAATCCATGTTCCCCAGTGACAGGGGTCCAGTCCTGGATACTGGGGGTAGGACAGAGCCATACAGATAGCCATGGATTTGTCCAGTGACCTTGTAAAGCTGCCCAACTTGGTGGCCATCAGTACAACATGTGGCAGTGAACTCCATGGTCTGACTATGCACTGTGTGAAGAAGGATTTCCTTTTCTGTGTCCTGAAATGACTCCAGGTTGCAGCATTAGCGCTCCCCACCACCTGAGGAAAGAATGGTCTCTCTGGGAAGACTGATCCATGAGCAGGGCACCACAGCTGAAAATGCCCGCTGCCCCCCCACATCATTTTAGTTAGTGGGCACCCTGCAGAGGAAAGTCACTCAACCAGTCTGGACCAAAACCTTTTGCTGCCAGAGACAAAGGACAGGATGTCTTTCCCACTCCAACCCTCCAGAGGTTCAACCATCACAAGAACCCAGGTTTTCCTTAAACCCTGAGTTGTTGTAAATGCGGCACTATCTCGGTGCAACCAGGAGTGGTCAGCAAAATAATCCACTTTGCTGCTCTCTCTCTGGCTTGGTGAGGGAGAAGGTGATCACAGTTTCTGATCGGCATATCATAAAAAGGAGCCGGGGTGGAATGCCCGAGTTGTTCAGCTGCTCCCATTAGCTGCAGGAACAACTGGACAACCTGCACCAGCATGCTTCATCGTTTGCAATGCCTCCTCTTGCAACAGGCAACCCAGACCATTTTGTCAGTGAAAAGTGCTGTTTCTTTCTTACTGCAAATGCCAATCATTACTAGAAGGTGGAAAAATTACACGAAAATAATTATGCTTCTTCATTTTTCCTGGTATCCTTGCTTGTTCCATTAACATATATCTGGAGGCGGGAAGCGGGGAGAAGATGGTTACCTTAAATGCATTAACAATAGCAATGCAATCACTCCTGCTGTTTCCAGAAAAATGTAGTTTATTCCTGTAGAAAAACAACAGTCTGTCACAAATGGCTTAAAAAATGTGTCATGCTTTACAGGTTTCTACAATACTATTGCTGTCTTGGGTTTTAGTTATTTATTTAATTTACAGAATCTACACTACACACTGAAATAGATTCAAGAGCAGTGAACAGTACAAACCTGAAATAGTATAACTGATACATAAAAAACAAGAAATACTTTGAACTGTTGCTGGCTAGCAGAAGCAGCTTTGCAGAACAAAACTGTTTTCAGTAGGGTATCAAAAACGGCATACAATGTAGGTGTCTGTCTCACCTCCAGAGACAGTAAATTTCACAGAAATGGGGCCACCACTTAGAAGGCTCTTCTGGTAGACTCCAGTCTGGCCATAGGTCCATGGGAGGCCTATGATGTCCTCAATGACCAGAAGGGTTGGTAAGGAAAAAGTTAGTAAAATTTTGCTACACATTTATTCGACTGTTTCTGAATATCAAAGCAAAGTTTCCAAAATGATAGCCTTTTATAAATGAAACGAACTGTTGGGTTCTCAGTATTTTAAATATTTTTCTTGAACCAAAAGAGTCCAACCAGGAACAACCACTGGCCAAGCTGGCTGGGACTGCTCACAACTGCAGTCCAACAAAGGACATTCTTTACTTAGATTATTTAATCTAAATCCGAAACTCTAGGCCAATTAAAAGAGCCCTCTTAATTAATCAAGCAGCATTTTTAAAAATATACACATTTCTATTTATTTTAATATAATACAAGTCTTCACAAAACAGCAAGAGAACAAGAACCACAGAATCGTAGCTCGGTGGAGATGGGCTAGGTGGAAAACAATGAGAGATGTTTATTAGGGCTCAGGGATTCCAAGGGCCAAGCTTGGCCTGCAAGGCTCGTGGACTTAAAGGCTAACTAGCCTGGCTTGGTAACCATGGATTAAGTCAGGGGTTGTTGAGTTCTGGGCTGCTATAATGCATGCAACTAGCCACACTAACAAGACAATAGTTTGTTAACTACAAACAACACAAAAAGAGAATCTACTGCCTGTTGTTGCATTATGAATTCTAGGTTATTTAACAAACCATGGATTGTTGTTACATGTGAACCCAGAGCCATATGTTGTTCCTGAGTTGTTTTGCCAGGCTACAGGGAAGCAGGCAAGAACTGTAAAAAAAGGGGGGGGAGCACTCACTCTACATGCCAATATTACAGCACTGCAAGGCATTTGGGATACAAGGAGGGAGCAGGCATGGAAAGGTGACACAAACAACACAGGGCTTAAAAAGATAAACTGTGGTTTGTTTGATCATCTGCCAGATAAACATAGGTAAGGAAAGAAACCATGGTTTAGCTATGGATCAACTAATGATGCGCTAGCGTTACGTGCAAACCAGGTCCCTGAAGACTCCTGGTTTCTTCCAGTCATTTTTCCCTTTTAAGCATGAGCCAACCTTAGAAAGGGCAAGGCTAGGAATTTAGCAAGGTGGTGACCAGGCAACAGCATGTCATCTCCCTATTTCCACAGCAAAAGGCAGCAGCGAAGTCAGGCTAAAATAGGTGAGGTATCCTTTTTTCTACAAGTTTTGTTATTGTATGCATGTGATGAGATGGTGCACCCATTTTATGAGTCCATCCTGCAACCTTTCCCAACTTACAGATGTTTTGCACTGCAAATCCCATTAGTCCACATGATCAAGGGTCAGGAATCCTGGAGTTGCAATTCAAACCATCTGGAAGGCACCAGGTTGAGGAAATCTTCCATAATGGGACCAGAGAAACAGTGCCTGGGCCCTTAAGGGGAAACACATGGCTTTACATTTACTTTCAGTCCCAGAGCCTCCATTTTCTCCAAGGATGGGGAACTCATACCTCTCCGAATTCTGGTGTCTTGCAACTTGCAGCATCCCTCAACTATGATGAAAAGGCTAATGGGGATTGCAGTCCTACAACATCTGGAGGGCCATACATTCTTCACGCCTGAGTTAAAAGGAACTTGATAGCAAGACCAAGATACCAAGCCAGGTTAGTTAGCCTTAAGGCCTGCATACACAACCTTGGGCTAGGAGGAAAAGCAGGCGGATGCAGCCTAAAGCACGTGTAAGATCTGATACTGTCGTGCAGCACCCGAAAGCAAAGGAAACCTGCCATGTTCCTCAATCCACTCCATGTGTGACTGTATGCATTCTTTGAAAATCAGATGACTGCCCTAGCAAAAATACCTGTATCCATCAAGGTGTTGTCTGAAAGGTATTACAAAGAAGTTGTTCAAAGAGAGAGCTGCAGCTGTAACACAAAGAAAAAGCACAACATTTGTGGCTGAAAGAAGCACCTCGCTTTTCCTTTGCAAAGGATTCCAGAACTCAGATTGTATCTTGATGTCCAGAGGTCGCACAGCTTTAGCTATGACAAGTGGGGGACAAACTATTATGTTTGTTTGGAGTGACAGAGTGATTAATCACCTGCTGTCTCTCCCCTTCCTCCACAATGACTTGCACTCCCCACGGCCAAACTTTAGATCAGAGATGCTGAACTTCTGGTCCATCTGGCATTTCAATAGGGCCTGGCAGGGTTGTGTGGATGGTCATGACTTTTTCCTGCATCCATCGAGAGAATAGGCTGGTTTCCCAGGTTTTGAATCCTTGCCCCACACTTGACAAAGCGACATGCTTCTCCTATTACGTTATTGGAAGTAAGAACTTAAAGATAGACATGTTGATATTTTAGCCTTTTTGCTGCTAGACCCTCCCATCTCTGGAATGCCGCCCCCAAGTGCTGCAGAAAGCGGTTTAACATACCTGCTGTAAACACTAAGTTCTGACAGGTAAGAATATGTCTTGTTTTGTGTTTTGCTTGTTTTATAAGGCACCCAAAGTGAACTGTTTTTATTCAATTGTTGCACTCACCTATTATCAGACATTCTTCCAGACACCCAAAGACATGACCAAAAACTATTAGCTTGCCAAGGCGCTGATCCACAGGTAACTGCGCCAACACCTTTCCTAAGAAGGTCAGCTCACCATCATAAGGAGTCTTTCCTTCAGAATGGACCCCAATAGAAAGTGCTCCTATCTATACCAAAACAAAGGCAAAAATCACATCAACAGAAAAAAGATCTGTCAACGATCAAAAAGTGCAAGGCAAAATAATTCATCTGCTAAAGTTATATTCAAAATCCATTAGTGTCAGGCCTGCAGAATTTGTAAATGTGCCAAGGAAAAACAACATATAATCAGAAGGTGAATCCAAGTGGAATGACACCTCTCCCTGGGCATTATGGACTCGTTCTCTAGCAGCCTCAATGCGTATTTCATGCTTCATCCATTTACAATTATGTACGTTGGAGACACACTCAGTTAATTATTCTCTCGAGCTACTGTCACTTGCAAATGTTTACTTTTTGATCTTCCTACTAAGCGTGTGGTTATGTCTACTTTTGCAAATCCTCAAATAAAAACAAAAGTATTTGAGTCTTGTATACTTAAATGGCTCTCACTATGACTGATAAGCTTATCAAACAAAAGTACTTACTTCCTTAAGATGCAGAATGGTGCGTTCAATATCACTTATGCTTGGAGGAGACAGAGCTGTTGCTAGTAAAGCTACTGGTTCTCCCATGTCAAGCATCTTCACCTTTAACACAGTATTTTCCAAAGGGCATCGCTAAGAAAAAAAATAAATGGAACAATGCTAATGCTGCAGTATACTGGTCTTTTTTCAGTGCTTCCTGTCCGCTTACTCCATTTAGCTATTCTGCGCCTGAGTAGGATAAATAAATATATAAGGGAACAGGCTAGATTTGATCCTCCCTTTGACTGCATTCATAGTCTTCTATTACAAAAACCTACAAACGCTGCACAACCAACAACAACACTAGGATAAAATAACCCACAAGTATGTCCACTATTCACAATGGTGTTCTGGAGCCACTGTCACGTTTTCAGCATGAAGGTAACAGACACAAGGCCAGTAATTCTTACCGTCATCTCAGGTACGCTGCTCTCAGGAATACAGTTTGCCCAAAAGTCCTTGCATACTAGTCTGTAGCAGTAGCCTTTGGAAATGCGGCCAGCCCGACCTTCACATAAAAGGAGGTGGAGTCTTGAGAACACAAAGTCTAAAAGCTGCTTTACCACATCAACTGCCATATTTACTTTCTTAAAAATGGTTGTGGTACTTTTGTTTGGTGTATACTAGATGAAAAAATGGCCTCTTCATAAGGGTTTACTTAAGTTTGCTAATTGTTGGAAGTGTAACAAAGCTGATCCTACGACACTCATGTGTTTTGCCAATGCTTAATAACTGCCTCTTTTTGGAAGGAGGCTATAATACAGATAAACTTTATGTTGGAAAACTTTAATTTTTCTTAATAAACAAGTTCTCCTCAACAATCTACCTGTTTCTTGGAACTTAATACAATGACAACGTAAAATGGTTTTCCATGCCCTTTTGACAGTGGAAAGGCTAGAAGGATAAGATTCTACCTCCAATAATGCAATGGATTGAGACTTTAACAATGCTTTCAACGTTTGAACAGGTGTTATTTAGATACTGCCTATGAAGAGATAGAAACATGGACATTTGTTGAAGCTTATATAACATCGTCATTGTTGTCATTGACAGCAGTATATTTTTCTACATCTCAGAATATATGCATGTATGCATATTACTTGCATCTATTATAACTGAGCTATTCAATTATTTATTTACATAAATTTATAGGTCACCTATAATTGCAGAGGCCTTCCTAGGTGGCTTACAATATTAAATATTCTGTAAAAAAACTGAAACCCTGGTTCTCTTTTGTTTTATTTTCTTTCTTTGGCTTTTGTTTTGTTGACATTCCCAATAAAAATAATAAAAATGGCTGTAGTAGGACAGAGTACCAAAAAGTGAGCTCCTCATGATCAACACAGCCTGTCTATTTGTCTCCATTTGCAATTAAACCCTTATGATTAAAGGTGGGCTGTGGATCTTGGAGAAGTCTCTGTCGATGGTTTCGGAAGCCTTTAACTCTCTTGGAACCTTTCCTGAATTTGCAGCTTTTGCACTAAGCAGCCCTTATAGGGCAAGCATTTCATTCTGGTTTGGAAATGGTGACACGAGAAGACCCCGTGTTGTTTCCTAGCATGAAACTAGACTGAGGGCAGAATTTGCCCCTGAAGTTGTACAGAGCCTAATTATTTATTTTCATAAACTGGGGAGCAGGGGGAAATGCTGTAAAGAAATTAAGCAAACAAATGATAGTGCTTTGATTTAAAATACAAAACCTTGTGCATGCAAACTATTTCGGTTTTTAGCAGGACCAGCATCCCTTGCTCATGATGGTATGACAGGAGCACAGAAGGGATTGTAAAGCATGAGATGGATGGGGTGGGGGAAGCAGAGAGATGCTAAAAAGTTGTGTACTTCCAAATGAAGAAATACAACATGCCGTCTGAATGAGTGGTGTGGGAAAAGTAGATAGGGAGACATTTCTCTCCCTTACCCACAGCACTACAACATGGGTTCATCCCGTGAAGCTGATTAGTGGGAGATTCAGGACCGATAGGAGGAAGGACTTCTCCACCCACTGCATAGTGAAAGTACGGTATGCACTTTCACAAGATGTAGAGACGGCTACCCATTGAGGTGGCTTTCAAAGGGGATGGGACACATTGATGGAGAGAAGGCTGCCAATGGCTATTCATCCTGGTGGTTTTATGCTTCCCACAGTATCAGAGAGACAGAATGCTTATGTACAGCAGTTGCGTGGGAATATGGGCTGGAGGGGTGCTGTTGTACTCACATCCTGCTAGTGCGTCTCCTAAGCACAGGTCTTAGCCACTGAGAGAATAGAATGCTGGTCTAGATGGACCTCTGATCTAGTCTAGAATGGACTTCCTTATGTTTTTATGTTGTAAGGTATTCCCAAGTTCCTTAGATTACAAGCTTTAATTTTCCTAGTACTATTCCTACACAGGTACTAGAACGACCTTCTGAAGGGGTGTACATATTAGAGGTCCATCTTGAGCATAACGAACAGTTGCTGTTCAATTAAACAGCTCTCTTGCTCATGCACAAGTAAAGGAGCTTCTTGGATGGCCGATCTCTGCGCCATGAGAATCAGGGACACACCAACTTTACCTCTCCTCTGGTTACAGCTATTTTTAGAGGCCCAGCACAGCCTCAAGCTTTGGTAGTTGGTATCTTCATCACAAACCAGTGTTCTGGTCAAACAGAAATCGATGACTGCAAATTAAAGGAAAGAGAAACAAGCATAGGAAATAGAGAGTGTTTCTGCAAGGCAACAAAAATGCTCATTGTTTTCAGCTGAATCAAATAAAAATAAGAGAAAACAAGAGAGTGAACAAGATGGAAAAGTGGCTGAAAACACATAGCTTCTTTAAAATGTGTTCAATTCTGCTTAAAAGGACTGAAAAGTTATCATCTTAATGGTGCTGCTACAACATAGTATTTCCTCCACCATCTCACTTCACAACAGTGATGCCATCACACTGATTATGGGCTAAGAAGTCAACAAAGGAATGCCAATTTTAGCAGTGATTGTATGTTGAGTTGAGTCGAAATGCTTTAACCCTGCAATTTCCTGCACAACCATAGCTTATCCCGGGGGGCTGTTTGGCAGAGACAGGTATTATCCAGGTGGTGTGAATAACTAGTCACTGAGTTTCAATGATGGAATACCCATGTTCACTTTTACCATCCTGAGTAATCTGTACTACACACACACACACTTAATGATGCACAAGCTTTTGATGAATAGCTGCTGAGATGGAACTAAAACAAAATGGCAAGAACTCACCAAAAGGTAGTCAATATTCTGACATGTGCTCCCCAAACAGAGAAAAAAATGCTGGCCTGTATGCCACATGGTGCTTATACCTCCTGCATGCAGCAATGGTTTAACACGGGGGTCTCAAACTCAACTGACCTGGGGGCCGCTGGAAGTAGAGTCTGGGTGAGGCTGGGCCGCATCCAGTATTCCACCACCGCGGTGGTGGTGGCCGCTCATCCCGCGGCCGGCGCTTTGAAGGCAGCAGGGCCCCTCCCCTGTGCCCCGGCAACTGGCCCGCGGGCCGCGAGTTTGAGACCCCTGGTTTAACACTTCTGGGGGTGGCCTGAAATGAGCCACATTTTCACAGAGGAACCCTTCCACCCTGCTTCCCTCTAGAAGCAAGCGGTTCTGCTAGATTCAGGGCTTCTGCTAGCAGTGTTAATTCTGCCTTGGTGGGTCCTGTTCGCACAGCAGAATTGGCAGGGCAGAAGGGGGTCTGCAAGGGTACCTCCCATGGGGTGACACCTGTGGAGGTCAAAACAAATCCTTCCATAGGACACTTCCCTTGAGATTCACTTTTCTCCACGAAGGGGTGTGTGGGCCTGAGGAGGGTATGCAAGCATGACGGTTGTGCCCAGTGCTTCCCAGATCCAGTTCTAGGAGAGAATGTTGGTATCTTAACTACGTCAGAGAAGAACAGAAGGGAAGGCACAACGGGTGCAGCAACAAGAGAATGCCTCTAAATTTACAAAAATGCATCCTGAATTAGGGGAACTATTTTCAAAAATGGAGATAAAAACAGCTGCAAGTCTTATGGCTCCTTGAAGACGTAACAAAATGGTTAGTCTTTCGGATGCCACAGGGCTCTTTGTTGCTGAAACAAGGAACTACCCAGCTGTCCCTCTGGAAACCAAAATAAAACTGCACGTGAATAAGTAGAAACAGAATCCCCTACAACTTTATCAAAAAAATGGTTTGTATGTCAGCTTGCTCTTTAAAAAAAAAAGCTGGCCACTTGCTGGAAGCCAAATGCTTTATGGGCACTAAATTCCTTGCTAGCTTTAATGGCAGGAGCTGTTTTCTCAAAACTGAACCTTTTCAGGATGAAAAGGTTTCTACCCATTGACTTAAAAGACTGCCTTGCTCTAAGTCAGGCAACTGTGAATGGCTGCACATGTTCCTTCTTATTTTTATTTATTTAACAAGTTTTATATACCATTCACAGCTCATGAACTTTCTGAACGGTTTACAACATATAACAACATACTGCATGGCTGCTACTACTGGAGGTCACGAGGATATGGTAAACTCCACCTGGGGGCAGCTGCCGGTGCAAAGGTTAAGCAGTGACACTGAAATAGCAAGAGGCAATCTCAAGGAAACGCCTGTGAGTGAGAAAGCTGAGATGTGAAAACAAGACTCCTTCTCTTCCAGAGGGGACAGGGAACTCCCTCTGCTGAGTAGCTGCTAGCATCAACGCAAAGGTCTTCATCTTGCATTTGTGTCTCTTTGCATAACTGTTTAGATGCTTCAGATGTCTCTAATAGGCACACTACACAGACTCAAACTACGTTTCCTCTTGGTCAACACAGAGAGGCTCAAGGGATAGGAACTGCAAGAGGTAGTTTTAAGGAAACAAGGCAGAGCACTGCTGCAGTATACAAAAGATGACTTCATTTTTCAGAAGCTATGAGCAAGCCCTGGCCAAATTGGTATTCTCCAGATGTTTTGGACTGCTATAATCCCCCCCCACCCCGGGGGGATTGTGTTTCCAAAAACAGGGCCTAACTATCAACAGGTTTAAGTCTACTTCTTAAGGGATGGGAGAGTCTTCTCTGTTTTCACACCCAGATTGTGGAATGCCTTCTCCAGAAAGACTTGTCTGATGCATATATTTTTGGAGTCAGGTGAAACCCTTTTCTAGTTTTCCAAGCATGTTAGTACATCAATCTTTATTATTTTAAATCTGTCATTGTATTTTTATTTTTTTCCATCATTGCTGAGTTTTACTTTAGTTTCATACAGCAGTTTTACACCTTTAATAGTTTAATATTGTGCTCTGTCATGCAGCTCTATTTTATGGTTTTAGCTGTTCTGAACTGGTGGGAGTCCTTCAGCTGTCGCGTGGCAGAAAGGTGATAAATATGGCTCTTGACCAAGGTTTCACATGTTGGACACAAAGGTTCCTTCTACTGTTTAAAGCTTAAGTGACACTGCTTTTCTGCAATTAATTAAAACAGTGGTTTAATAAGGTACTTAATACACTGGTATATTGCGACAGCATCCCACCATTATGACTCAGAAGTACCTCTTGATTGGCAAAAAGAGCTCTGCAGTTTGCATTAGAAGCTTCCTCCTTATGGCTTCTTCCTCTAATCACTTTCTGTTTGGCAGTATGACAATACCAAACTCCTCTCTAACTAGCCTGTTCTTTTGCAGAAATCATTGTGCAAGAATGAGCATTCCTGGCAATTTTTTTAAAGAAAAAGAATGGGAGGAAACCAATAATTAAAGTACAGGCACACAGAAAACAGAAGCCACTGGACAGAAAGCAATGGCAGGAAAGCTGTAAGAAGGAACCTTGTAATTAAAGACACAGTGGCCCTGACATTCTTCTATAACACTTTTCTAGTTGTCATTCTACAACCTAACATTACAATGCCTTTTAAAGTGAGTGATACTAGCACCATGTGGATCATAAAGGGAGGCAGCAATAAAACTACCTCACCCCCACAAGAACATGATTGCCTGGGAAGGTGGTTTAGATTCCACATCAAAAAGAGGGAGAACGAAAGTGTCATGCCTAATGACTCAGAGGAGTTGTTAGCACGTGTAAGAGAGCAAGAAGCTCCCAGCGAGAGTCAGGCTTTAGAGCAAGAAGATTTCTACTTGGTGCCCATGGCACAAACATCGCCCCCCCCCACCCGCCACCTGACTCTGATGAAGTTTTTATACAAGTTCCTGGTAACGTTCATGAGCCGGCCATGGAAATGACCATTGCCATGGAGAATGCCCAGCTGAGGAGAAGACTTCGCGCTTGGGCCAATTAGAAGAGAGACAAAGTCAAAGGAGGGAGAGGAGTTTATCTAGCCCTTGGGGGGAGGTACATTCCCATCAGGTTAAGAGTACGTCATAAATCTGAGAGAGGTCAACTGTGTTGCTTAGAACTACCATTAACTGCTCTTGTATTATCCATTGCCTGCTTATCTTTTAAGTGTTTAGAATAAAAGGCTTTAAACCTTTATTGCCTGTACCTGTGTGAGTAATTAGAAAGAGTGCTCCGGTCTCACGACAGAGAGAGAGACGAATGGATGGCGGTACCAGTCTAAACACTATTATGGAAACAACCAAAGCTAATATATGCTTAAATCTCACAGAAATCAAATTAACCAACCAGCTATGCCACTGACTGAAAGGGACACAATATTTTAAGCTTTCTCTAGCTTAGGTTTTTTGAGTGCAATCTAGGGGAAGCTGGACATGATCGAGTTCTCCCAATTCTCATACTTGCTGAATAAAGCTTGGTGTCCCAACCACCATCAAGGTTTCCCATGCTCTGCCCATTCAGTTTTAAGAAGTCCACGTTTCTAGCTCTGGTGAACAGGAAAAATGTGCTAGCTGCTTGCTTGTGGAAGACTCAAAAGGCCAAACTGAGTTTTGCATAAAGTTTTCTTCACACCAGCCTTCCCAACCTCAACCCCCAGATATATCAAGACTATACCTTTCATCATCCTCGGCAAGCATGTACATGGGGAAGATGGGAGTTCTGGTCCAACACATTTGGAGGGTGAGGAAAGCTGCTATAGGTCTACAATGCAGCACTGATTCTGTGCAGCTTCTATGCATTCTAACCCTTTGGTGAGAGCCTTCTCCGGCCAGGCTTCTCCGCCCTACAATTTCAATCCTTTACTCTTTGGTGTTTGCCAAAAGAGATCCGCAAGCACTGCATTTGATATTATGCAAATTGAATGAATCACAGCAAAGTAAATGCTACACCTAATTTAATCTGAGTAGTTTTTGCCAAAAGCCATAAATATCTCTCCCCCACTTTTCACTCTGCACAAAAATATGAACTTCCTTGGGGCGGAATTTAATTTTTGGCACACAGTACACTCTGTCCTAGCTTTAGAAGTGCCTTTGTGAGAGTTGAGAGGGGGGTGAGGGGGAGATTAGGCCACAGCAGTTTCGGCTTTCATTTTCAGGAACATTACTCTGAAAAAATGAAGGGACAAATACTTATTTTTCTCACTAGCCATCATACGTCAAAATATGCTCACCGTATTTAACATCTGGAACTGTAACAGAGCTCTCTGCTATATTTGTAGACAGAAGTATCTACAAGAAAGATTTTCGAGAAAAAGGAACAGGGAAACAAATATTACTATGGACTGCATTTAAGAAGGAGCCATTCAAACATGTACTGCTATGTTTATTTGGTTAAATATTGGATTTTGAGCCCATACATGAGCCTCCAAAGTGGTTCACAATCATGATTAAATAATAAAACCTAGTGTTACTTTCTGTTCTTATTATTACATGTGATGGTTTTATTTATTGAATTTGCTTATGGTGTTTAGGATTTTTATGCTTTGTTTTATTGTATTTTAATCGCTGTAAGCCATCGGGAAGCCATGTGGCTATTGTGATGGTCTATACAAGCTTGAAACAAATAATTTATTAGATGCCTTTCTAAAAAAGATTAATCAAGGTGACTTACAACAAAATTGTAATGTGCAGGATTCCAAACAGCAAAAACACGCCAAACATTATCTATTAAGATCTACCCTATTTACTATACATTAAAAGACTATCATTACATAAGTCAACTCAAACATCAGCGGCAATGAGAAATCCAAACACTGGCTCAAGGTGACCATTTAGTATCTGAAAACTATTGCCCCTTTGCAGTAGGAGGAAACAGGGGATAAAGCAGAAAAAAACAGGACATAAAGCAATGACCTATTGAAATGGCATATATTACCTGTGCAGGTAATATTTATTTATTTAACTTGTATGCCACACCATTAGTCAAAAGCCTCTCTGGGCAGCTCGCAACTTAACACCGGTAGGCTGTGTTAACACACCCCACCTGTTACAGGAGGTGTTCCTTTGTTCCCAAAACGTGACTACCAAAGCCCAAGTTCCTTCCTGCTTCCTTCAGGCATCTGATATCCACCAAGCAGCATAAAGGTGCTGGTTGTCCTCTTTTCCCCACCAAGATCATGAATCGCAGTGCTGCAATATTTAAGAAAGACTCACTTTGCGGTAACCAGGGACTGGAGACATGAAAACATTATTTTGGTCTTCCAACGAGACAGTGGAATGGAGTGGATATACTTGCAACCTAAGGAAAAAAATGATAAATTCAGGGATAGAACAAATGACCACACCTATAAGAGAGAACATAAAGAGTTATATTCTCTTACATTCCATAACAGGGAATTTGAAAATGGCATGTTTGACCAACATATGATGAAAACAGGACATATGTAAACCACACTGTGTTGCTTCCTAGTGGGGTGACTTTCACACACTTGAGTCCATGGCTGCCCAGGGGTTCTGGTTTGTGCTGCTCAAAGGTGGACATGATGAGAAAGGGGAGTCAGTCCTGGCTATTGTTGTTATGTGCCATCAGGTCATCTTCCAACTAGGGTGACCCTATGAACTGAAGTCCTCCAAAATGCCCAGCCCTTGACAGCCCCATTCAGCTCTTCCAAATTCAAGGCTGTGACTTCCCTTATGGATTCAGTCCATCTTATATTTGGTCTCCCCGTTCATCTCCTACTCTTGCTCAGTTTCCCAACCATGCACTTCTCTCAGCTGGCTTCTCAGCCTTCCTTCCAGCCCATGATACAGCTACTTAAAGGGAGCCACACTTTTGGCTTGGCCTCTCTCCCTGCACAGGCTGTCTCGGATATGCCCAATCCGTCCACCCTTTAAACATGGATTCATTGCTGCGGACATCAGTCAGCTGTCTGCTGAAAGGGCTGGGCTGGGATTCCCTAGTGAGGCTGCCTGGTTAGGTCTTTTCCCCTTTCCTGCAGCAATGCAAACTGGTAAGAAGTCAACCGTCAGGCAGAACTGTCACAACTTTTTAGGTGGATGGTCCTGGATTGGATCCAGATTAAAGGGGTACATGCCCCCTTCCCTAGTAAGGATGAGGATTGCTCCCAGGGGGTGAGGCTGTATGTCAGCAACTTTCCCAGGGGGTCGGAAACTATGCAAATTGTACACACCATGGCAGGATCTCCTGCAAAACTCCCCTTGCTAAATCAGCACACAGGCTGGGGTCCCGAATGGACAACAGGCAAGCTGTCCAATTAAGGGATTTTTCTACAGGCCATGTCACACAGTGACCAGTAAGTTGTGACCAAGTGAAAATCCAGCACTGTCTCTGCATGTTGCATGGCTGATTTTTCTTGAATGGCTACCCAGCTGGGCACTCTGGGTGCGACCCCTTCAAGCCCAGGAACTCTTTTTCTATCCCCTTAAAAGAAGCATCTCCAAAGCACAAAGAATGCACTATTCTGCTGTCTAAAAGGGACAGAGAACAATCAAGATTCCTTCCATCTCTCAAAGCAGTAGTAAAGAACCTGCAGCCGCCAGGCCTAAGTCCTTGTGGATCTCTCAAAACTCTGGATCAGATCTAGCAATTGGGATCACCACATTGGAAAGCACCTCCTGTTCTCAATGGGGTGTGTGTGTGTGAAGGGGGAGCTTTTCTATCCCATCCCCTACAGAACGTCTCAGGATGGCTTACAATCTGTAGGAAAGAGAGGGGGATTGGAGAAGATGTCTTTAATATGAGGTAAGCTGAAGGTAGTTCTGATTTACAATAAGTAGATCAACAAAGGCTTCCAATTCCCAATTGTTTAACAATAGCTGACACAAAATCTATCTTGGTGTCCTAAACTAGACTGCTGAAATAAAGAATGCTTCGGTTAATGGAGAGCGGGTTTTTCTAAAGAGCTAGCCTGAGGCCCCATTCAGTTCTGGTTCCAACAACAAATTTCTGGACTCAGATTTTGTTAATTCAAAGTATGTTGTTTGAAACAGGTTGTTGTTGGTGGATCTCACGTTGCTAGGAAAAAGGAACAAAATCCTCTGACCTCTGCTCATCCTCATACTACACAGTGGAGGAAAAGCCTTGCTGTGAGCCATGGAATGAAGGGTGGAGGACAGGAAGGTGGGAAGAGCAAAGACCTGGAAATAGTAGAGCTGGAATGCATGGTGCAATGCAAAAGGGAGAGAGAAAACCAAGCAAACAAATCTGCAATGACCTGGGGATGGAAAGCTAAAATGGATGAGATGGAGGGGAAGTAAAGAGAGATGGAGAGGCAGAGGAAAGGAGAGGGAAAGGGCTGTGAAGTCCTGCAGTGTAACACGCTCTGCCCAGTTTAGGCAGATAATGTATGGCCTTCAGCCAAAAAAGGTTATCGACCCCTGACTTCAGTCCAAGGCAGAGGACAAAGCATTCATGTCGTTTAGTATTTGCACCCATTTCTTGCATCCCATGGCTCTCTCTGGTTGAACAAGAGCTTTAGGGTTCTTTAGAGTTAGCTCCATTTAATGTAAGAGGAGAGTAGGATAAGAATGTGTTACAAAGACGCTGTTGGGCCACAAGTCCCTCCACAGACCTGGGTGCTCTGTGTTATTCCACCAAACCCCATCTTCTCCAACTGCTTCAGTTTCGCCTTATCCATGTTGCTTCGTGCACTTGCACAGAAAAGGGTAACAGCAGCTGAGAAGGTCGCTTTTCCGCAGGGCCAGCAATATGGCTCTCGGGGCCTTGTAGAGAGCCCAGCACAGTGAACTGATTGCAACTCACCTTTCCTGAGCCATGACTGAGAGAAGCTCGTGCATGCAATTTATTTCTGCCAGACCTAGAGGGTGGAAACAAAACTGATAAATGCACACTGCATGGTTACTCTAAGCTAAAGAAATAAATAAAAAATCTAATAACATTACAGTCACCTAGATGATTATTCAACTGCCTGTGCTTCCTTCCCTGATCTATTAGCAGCCACACTTTGACAACTCCAGCCAAGAGTATCAGCTCAGATTGTGGCTTAGATTCATATTTCACACCATTACTATTATACTGTGTTCTCTGCATCCAAGTGACCTTCAGGATTCATATTGCTAAGTTTTATTTTATTTTATAACCTACACTGAGAGGCTGGGCTGTTGGGTGACCATATTCCTCTGGAGGATATGTTCTTCAGCTCAGATCCTCAAGATCACTTGTCAGATCCTGAGCAGCAGCAGACAGACGGTCTCCCCTGACCAGGCAATGGCTAAATGCAGGTACATGAACCAGACCTGTCCAAACCAGAATCTTAATGATGCCATCGAATAGCAGGGGGCAGTATTGATGCACTTTCCCCCCTCTGCACTTGCAGTGGTTGCCAAGAACAAACGCACACAATCTGGAGTAGATCATCAGACTGGGTTTCCAAGCACCCATTCAAATCTTGGAGCCCCCTAGTGCAGTGGGCAGAACTCACAGGGAAGCCCCATGCTATGCACAGAGAAAAGTCCACACTTGATGCCAAGCATCTGCAGTTTTAAGAAAATCAGCAAGCAATATGGAAAGCTGTTTACTGTCAGAACAGACAACCAAACTGGACAGAGAAGTAACCTGGCCTGGTCTAAGTCGTCATCATAACACTCAGCATACAAAAAACTGCAATGGCCAAAGTGGGCTTTTCACACAAGTTAACCAATCATTAAATAATTCTCTTCTGGACAAAAATAAAATTAAAATTAACCTCACCTGGTAGAAATACCAATACACTACCACGTTCTGACATGAAGTCCAGACTCTGGTTTTCTGCCCTGGTATGTGAAAGATATAGTTTGTATTATTTTCCTTTTAAAAGCACTAACCTCTATTTTTCTGAAAGGCCTAAGGAATGCATTCGCTTACAAAACCAACTAGCAACCCCCCCTTTAATATTTTGTGGTTAATTGAACAGATGTGTTTACAAAATGCTACCTAAAGCTACATTTTAGCTTTAGGTATATTTTACATAGCACGCGTACATGGAGAAGCTAAAAGCTGCAAGTCCCCTGGAGCAAGAGAGAGAGAAACAGCTTTATTTCCCATCTTATTTCCAACAAACTGGAGTTGCATAACAAGCTTTTACAAGCATGGCACTCTCTCCCAATGCCTCTGTAGCTGGAAAACACTCACAAAAGCTGGCAATGAGATAATGCAGAATAGCACCCATGGTTTGGACCAGTTCTAGCCCCATGTTTTATCAAGTATAGCACGGTCTGAGCTGTCTGATGGCCTCCAGGTATTTTCAATGTCAGCTCCCATCAGGTCCGGCTAGCATGGCCAATGGTCAGTAAAACAGGGGATGGTACTCCAAAATGTTTGGCAAGCACCAGATTAGAAGCTGCTGCTCTATGGAGCAATGCAGGATCCAGCATTTGTCATACTTCAGAGCAGATCCACTAAAATCTGCAGTAGTTTAGCAAACCACGTCTAACTTAATCCTCACTTATTTCAATGGGAGTACAATTAAAGCAAACCAGAGAAGGGAGCAAATCCATGCCATGCATTCCTAACCACAGTTAGGGAGTTGAAAGTTTGGTGTCTACAACAGGCCTGATGACACAGGAAATGGCATTATCCCAGGTCTGACTGTATGTTCACCTTGGTCAGTCTCGGTTACTGCGAGCAGCGATGCTTCTCTGGGGGAGTAAACCACAACCTGATTCCTCTAACAGTAGATGTCTCAGGGTCAAAGCCAGAACTTGCTGCATGCGAGCTAGGTTCTCTACCTTTGATTACAGCCCTTTCCCTGAAGTTGGCTGGGGAGCCTCTTCCAAAAGAAGTTGAGAAAACACTGCCAAATTTAATTTCCTTGTACTTCTGTGAACTTTGCATTTGAATGCTTGTTACAGTTTTGTTTCACTTGCACACAGGGGGTAGGATTTGGGGGCAAACCACTGCAAGTCACCGGACAGGCAAGCAAATAGATAAGTACCATACAGCTTCAGTCAACTTTTAATAGGACAAAAGAGGCCATCCTACAAATGCCTGAGTTGGTTAGGGTATTTATATCCCACCTCAAAAGGACCTCAAGGCAGCTTACATAATTCTCCCCCTTTTCTCAATCTTATTCTCACAACAACCCTGCGAGACAGGTTGGGTTGAGAGTCTGCGACTGGCCCAAGGTCACCCCCCACCCCAGATCTCCCAGACCCCAGTCCTGCGTTCTTAACCACCAACCCACACAGGCTCTCAGCCCTCCTGTGAGCTTTGTTGTTCCTATTACCTTAAATCCAAATCACCCCATAGCTGAAGCTCTCTAGGCAGTTTACAATCCGGGACCAAAAAGACAGCAAGTCTGGAGCCAGGCAACTTGTGGTAGGGAGGCTGTTCCAAAGATGGGGGGGCGCACATCCCCCTTGTTGCCACCCTTCTGAGCCTCTCTCAGGATTGGTACTCAGAGGAAGGCCCCAGAAATGTTGTTAGCCTCTTTATCTATACGGTAGTACAAACTAAACCACTTGAACACACTTTTATAGGATGAACAGACCATGATGTGAAATGCTGCTCGTATCCAGTCCCTCTTAGGGTACCCAAGGAGACTTTTTAAATACACAAAATGCATTCATATTTCCTGTAGCAGGGGCAGCAGCTTGCTAGGATGCCAGGTGGTTGGGTATTTTATTTCCTGTAAATAACCCTTTAAAGAAATAGGGCAGAAAAAGACAAGTGTTGAGGCGGAGACATTTAAATCAGGAACGTGCAATTGAGGTGGTGCAGCCTGGAAATGACAGTATCCACAGTGGGGATGTACGAGAAATTTGCTCCAGTTAACAGTGCATCAGATTTTTCCAGTTCACCTCTCCTGAAGTAAACACAGACTTAAACTGCAGTTACATCTGTAAACAATTAAAAATGCACACTTGGAAAAATGAGCACAAATGAGCACAAAATTCCCTCATCCGTGGGAGAAGAATGTTACATTTCAAAAACATGAGACCATACACACAAACATTCATGCCACAAGAAAAACAGAGCAAGATCCCCATCTGATATGGCCATGGGATGGATCCAGAATTTCGACAAGCTTGGGCTCTGAATGCACACCTGTCCCTAGGTCATAAATGCTGAAGCAAGAGAAAGAAACTGGATTCAAAAGCCCACTTAAGCCATGAAATTCACTAATATCAGCACTTCTGGTCTGTTCCTCTTCACAGGGTCAATATAAGGCGAAATCGAAGTAATTGCTTTCATGCTGGCCTGACCTCTTTGAGAGAAAGTTGGAATTCGAATCAGACAAAAGGGGTCTCGGTTACCAGGCAGGGGAAGGCTGACGTATGATTCCATGAACCAGAGTCCCTGTTTGCGTGCATGCTTTTTATTTTTACACTCCATTTATTCTCCTGTTTCTGAAGTGTCCTGTTATATGCAGGACCAACATAAAGGTCTAGCAAAAGACAAGACCATCCCAAATAGATTAACTATAATTGTCCTTTAAAAAAAGAAAAACAGGACGACTTATTTTAACAACTTATCATCTAACACACATCATTCATTAAAAAGGCAATACAAAAATCTCAAGAGAATGCAATTTCTAGTTAGGAGCAGTCATGATTAAAATTCTTTTCATATTAGGCTTCTGCATTTTTGCAGTCACTGAACGCCAAGCTACCAAAAGCTGCAGGAGCACGACAAATTAAATTGCTTTAATCTGTTCTGCACTCTGAACTAACACGGACATTAAGTATCAAAGCCAGATAAGATGAAAAAGAATGTACTGGGTTTTGCCTATTTATGTACAATGCATTTTTTCTTCAAACTTTCTATTTTTTAATGATTATTTCATTCACAATGCTCCCCTTGCCGTGACACACACAGATACAATCTTGCCTGCAGCTAAGAAAGCAAAATTTTCATTTGATATCGCTTGGCAAGTCACTCATATACAGTTGTCCTTGTGAATATTTTAAATACAATACTTCTTGAAAGAAAATCTGCAAAGCCCAAGCACAGATTAATCTCAGCAGAATTTGGAGAAGCTCTGCATAATAGACAAGAAAAGGACACAAAGTGCTGAGACATCTCTTGGAATGGGAAAAGGTAGACTGAGTTTGCATCTCCTAATTAGTATTTTACACCCTGATTTAGATTTGGACAGAGCAGGCATATACCATTATGCTGAAGGATGGTGGAGAGGATGAAGAGATATTATTGCTATGCGAATGAAATGGCTGCCGTATTCTTTATCCGTGCAGCCTGAGAAGGGAGGGGAAAAACAAGCAGAAAATCTCCAAATGGTGCAAACCTGATAGAACTGCCTCCATCATCTACTGAAACACTGTCAAAGCTGATGGATCAAGCTGCCCAGGCTGGAGAAAGCCAATTAATTCAGGCTAGGGAACCCTCTGGAGCAGATGTGGGCAAGCAATAAACAGAAAGCTAGGAAAGGCCTGTTGGCTACCGCTGAAACTCTGGAACAAATCAATGTAGATGTTTCCAGACATGAGACATTGCAAATTACTTTTCACATTTCAGGGAGTGTGACAAGTTCCATTTAGATGCCAGGAAGTACTTCCTGACAGTTAGGAGCCCGAGGGTGTGGAATGGGCTTCCACGAGAGGTCGTTGAGGCCCCAGCGGTGTGGGTGTTCAAAGATAGGCTGGACTTGCACATGGTGGGCATGTCGTGAGCGGAGCCGGCTGGAGCCGGGGGTCAGACTGGATGGCCTGGGAGATCCCTTCTGACTCTTTCTGTTTCTGAGTTTTGGGTGCGTGGAGAAACAACAGTGCCGCTACTCCTGCCATTCAAGAAGCGTACCTTTGTAAAATAGTTTTTACATTTACACTAGCAGTACTTTTCATTTATGCATCACTGGATGGGCTTGGAAAATAAAAACATAGCAAAAAAGTTTTGGAGCATTTAAAAAAAAAAATGTATGTTGCTACAATGGCACTCACAGCAAAAGAAATAGTGAATGGGTTCTAGAATTATTGTGCCTGCCTTGTTTACCTGGAATATCACCATAGTCATCAAAATGATCCCTCTGCAAAAAGCTGGAGTAAAAAGGCTAAAGGGATCAACTACAGAAATGGCTCATAATTTTAAAGAGGTTGCGCAGGGAGTAGTTTTCCAGAGAGATAGAAGAACCATGGGGAGAAAAAGAGTAGAACAGCAATCTGATGAGGACATTATCAAGATGCGCCATGGAAAACATTAGGGAAAATATGATGGCAAATCCAAAATAATCATGTAGTATGGGATAAACCTCAAGTGCCTGCTTCCTTCCACCCTGAACCTGTGTTTCGGCACACAAACAATTCAGACAAGCCATTCTTCTTCCGCTCGTTCTTCAGAAGTGCAAATCCTCAGGCAATGAAGACGAACAGCATCTTACCCACTCTCCTTCAACTCTAGCTTGTCAAACCACCGGATCAGAGCAACTGCAGTTTTGTACATTTCTGGATGGATTACTGGTTCCTCAAAAACTTGTGCAGGAATCTAGAGAGAGGAGAGTGAAAAATAAATCCGTGATGAACATCCTAGCTCTTTACAGAATGTCACAGCTGGCAGGAAGGGCTGGACTGAATGGACTCAGAAGTGACCTGGATCCCCCGTAAAGGGAAAGGTCAGAGATGAGGAAGGATGGGGGAGAGGGTAGCAGTATGGGGTGAAAAGGAGGGTTTCCGGTTCCTTGTGTTTGAGTGACTCTGGACTGTCTATGCATCTCAATAAACCTCCAAGCTGCGCACAGGTATTTCGCCTTTGCATCTCTCTCAGCCCCCATAGTTCTCCTGTGCAATGGGTATTTTCATTGTGATTTGTGGGGTAAATATGCGACTTGATGTTTGGCTCTCAGAATACAATGATGCCTTGCATTTGTTCATGGGTCAAGTTCATTTTCTTTTACCCTTACAGTTGTCTTCTGAGCAATGTTTTGTGACTGGACATGTCCACCATGGTAGCCACATTGGCCCTTCCTCCTCCAGAACAGCCATTTTGTGAGAGTGCCCACAACTCTCTCCAATAATTCCAAATGTCCCCTCTGGCCCAAAAATGTTGGCAGCGGTGACAACACAGGCATCCCCACCATCACCCTGCCTACTTCCTTTCCCTAGATAGCTGATCAAACTTCAAGACAGAGTTTTGACTTGCAGACATCTGCCATTTTTATTTTCTAAGAATGCCTTTGGGGCATACTTAGAGGAATTTCTGGAAATAAAGATAGCACTGGTGGCTGACATGTTGTTTTCCAGCAGGTCAACCTCCAAGTTTAGAACACAAACGAACAAACCTAATATTTTAAAAAATCAGGATATGGTACATGTGGACACCAAGAAAGCTGCATGCAGGCAGAGTGGTGTCTATGGACACCATGTCAGAAGCCTCAGTGATAAAGACAGAACTTGCAATTTCTGCAAAGAGAGTGTTGTCACCCTTGGTTAAAGACCGAATTAAGAGCACGCAAGTTGCAGATGGTTCAAATTAATTTTCCCTGTTTAAATAAAGTACACTTCAAAGTGTTTGTTTCATATTATGTATTGGTCTTATGATATAAAAAACAAACTCTGCAAACATATTTGCATGTTTATGGTCAGCTTAAACAAATGGTGAAAATTGGGGTGGGCAACAGAGCTATACTAACTACAGCTGATGGGAGATGAAGGACAAAGCATCTGGAAGGCCACAAGTTGGCCTCCTCTAGTGTAAACAGAAACAAACCTGCACAAGTGCTATGCAAGATGTCCTAAACAGAGGTTTATACATAAAATAGGTTATCTTCCAGGCAAACACAAAACCCTTGTACTAAGTCACCATTAAGGCAAGGCTTGTGCAAGTGTATACATTTTCGGTAAGTAATGTTAATCCTGAGGCAGTGATTGTGGAAAGTTTGGATGGGTTGTAGAGTTTTCTTTTCATGTTTTTAAGAAGGGCTGCAAAGTGCTTGTCTCCGCCAAGGATTTTTCCATTCCTCTATGTCGGATTGTAGAGCTATCAGTTTGTGATTCTCTGCTTCAGTAGCTTTCAGTGCACATCTTTTCACCTTGTTGAAGCCTCTCTTTGCTATCCCTGAAACTGACAGAGCTGCCATGGGGTTTTATCAGGAAAGGCTGCAATTTGACCAAGACATGAGTCCACACAGGTTAATGTAGCTTGTCAGAAGTGACCCATTCAAATCAAGATCATTTCTAACAAAGACAACTTTGGCCAATAATACAGATTTCTTAGGAGCCTACTTGAAGAAGTAGCAAGTATATTTTAACCATGTTCTTGCCTTAAAATACTCCAAAGTATCTCTCTCCTCTAACAAAGGCAACTACTAAATTGCCTCTGAGAAGATCAACAGCCGTCTATACAAAGCAAAGCAAATACATTTTTAAAAGACATGTCAAAGCTCTCTCGTAACAAGAGAATATAAAGAAGAATGTTTAGCCTAAGTGGGCAAACTGCATGATGGCGTTTCTGGCTCACTTTTTTCCTCTTGCAAGGAATACAAAACGGTTTACTTGGTCCCAGACCCCTCCATTTAATCCTCTTAATAACCCTGCGAAGTAAGTTAGAGTGAGAGCATTGTATATTAATTCTGATTTGACCACGTGAATAATTTTAGGTACTTTTTTATGAAAAGCAATCCAGACATTTTATAACATAAATTCCTCCCATATTTCTCTAACGGGACTGTCTCACCTTCATAAAGGAGATGCTCAAAGTAGCATTTGGGAATACAGCCATACTAGCCCACTCGTAACAAACTGAAACTCACTGACGTGTTAGAGTCAGTATATTATAGTGGTTAGAGCCCTGGACTAGGACTCGATCCCCACTTAGCCATAACTTTGGGCCACTCAGAGAAACTCAGCCTCTTCTACTTCATGTCATGAGAATAAAATTGAGAATAGGAGAAGGACCTTACAAGCCAGGTTGGATTTCCTGCAGGGGGAAAAAGACAGGCTATATCTGTAATAACAACTACCAAGCAATCGAACAGTTTGCTCTAATTCGGAGATGACTTGAAGGCACATCACAACCACAGCCAATGGAGCAAGAGGTCTGGCTCGCTATCTCCCCTCTCTGAACCTCTTCTGCCCTCTTCAACATCATCCCATCCCCCTCCTCACCAACTATGCTGACTTAATAAGCTGGACCTGCAGCCATAGCTCTCTACAAGTTGCCTCCAGGCCAGCTCCTGAGACATCTCAGCAGCTGATGCTCAAAGCATCACGGAAGCCTGCAGCTTAGGAAGAGGTGAAACTCGTAAGGGGATGCTTCATGGACTCCTAAATTTTTTTTAGAAAAGATAACATTTACTCAAGATTCAGATATCAAAAAGTGATGCTTCAAGGCAGAAGCAGAAGTAGGATTTATGGAGAAATTTCCTTTGCTGGAACACTGCTCAGTAATTGGAGACGGCAGGTTTTCCTTGAGTGGCTTCTGACCTACTTAGTAATCCTTCTTGGGTGCAAAGCGATTTGAACCAAGACAGACCATGATCTATTTTGATGTGAAATCATAAAACCATCGATCTGGAAAGGACCAGACTGAAGCAGGGAGGCCACGACGCTGGCAAAAGACCACCATCGCCACCCTATCCGAAAGAGATCTGAGAGCTGCTGCAATCAGTTCAGGAAAATATTGTCAACTAGATTGGCCCTTGCTAATTTCAGATGCATGATATTCAGAGGACTTGCACAGCTTTTTCATGAAGCTACCAGTTGTGAAATTACTTTCAGACAGATTCTCGCATTTTTTATTCCAAGATTTGTTCATTTTGAAATTTAATCTTAAGGGGGAAGCAGGGGGGAGATTCACAGCTTCTGAACTGATGGAAACCAGAAAATTCAATTGAAATTAGGGTTGAGATGAAAACAGGGGAAGCAGAAGTTGCCAAGCTTCAGAAACAAGTTTTGAGGTCTTCCATACAAAAAGAAGGCAGTAAACAGAACAGTGACTTGGCTTTTTGATTTTGTCAACCAGCTAAGAAGCACTGTGAGGTCGTGAGACCTTTGGGCCGGTTACACAGACCTTCCTATCGCAGGGCTCCAAGTTATGAGCAGTTGCCCCAAGCAGAGTTGCCGACTTCTAACTTGGATTTCCTTTCATTGCCACAACATACACCTGCGTGAATGCCGGCCCTCTCTGTGGTCCTGCATGCAAGAGCGACAACTGAAAAGCACTCCACAGCCAGCTCCCCAGTTCCCGTTTCTCAGCACCGGATTCTGGAGATGCACCACTGCCTCTGTATAGCATCAGGCTTCAAGCCATTGTGTACTTAGTGTATGGAAAGTTAGTAGTTAGTACTAAAAATGGTTAGTAGCATTAGCTTCCCTAGATGAAATAGAGCACACTCTCTGTCACAGGGTTACTGCAACATTTGTATTTTAAAACGGCAAAACCATCATCATCCAGTCAGAAAACACAGCTTTGTGCCTTCTCTCCCTCGATTATATCCACAAGTTGGGTTTTTTTTGTTCTGGAGTTGCCCTTAAGATACAACACACGATTGCCTGTACCACTGCATTTTTTCCTCCCTACTAAACAAAGAGAAGAGTGCAGCCAGGCAGGGAGAGGAGGAGGAAGGGGGAAATACAGTAGCAAGCTGTAAACAAAAATGTTGAGGCTTATAGCTTTGTAGTCTTAAAGAAGCAGAAAAAGTCAAGAATCTAGAGCAACCCCTCTTCTATTCATAAAGCCGTCAAGGTTGAAAGGGGCGACAGGCTAAGCAGTGCGTTGTAGTGTTTTGGGTGCTGGACTGGGACTCAAGAAATCCAGGTTCTAGTCCCCAAAACTCACTAGGTGACATTGGGCCAAATGCACGACTCTCAGCATGACCTACCTCACAGGCTTGTTTTGAGTATAAAATGGAGAAAAAGACCACCTTTCCTGCTAGCGGGGGGAAAAGGTAGGATGTAACTGTAATCATTAGTGAATACTAAGAGGAAGCCTTTCAGATGTGCTAGACTACAGCCCCCATCATCCCCAGCCAGCACATGCATTGGGTGTTGTAGTCCATTAGAACACCAGGCACAGGAATGTAATGATTGTGCATCCAGCAAATCTGGCCTGGTAGGGAGGGACTGCCTAGCAACTTCCTGGCTTTCTAAGTGGCCTCCCTCACACGCATCAGCTATTACATAATCTTCCATCTGAGCTGTCTGTGAGTGCTGACACATCACGGACACATCTATGAATGCTGACAGGCCATTGTTATTACAGGAGAGATATTTTTGTTCCTTAGCATAGCAAGACCTCAGTGACTGAAGGAGCCCATTCGCTTCCCTTTGCTCATTGTCAGATCTGCCTAGCATGTGTAGAGCCAATTACTCATCTCATCTCCTACTGCCCTCTCCCCACTCCAAAAAATTATGTCCAAAACTATTAATCTGTTCTTCAGTAAGATTCAGCCATTAGTACATGTTACACTGACAGTGCAGACCTTTAACCAGCTTTAAAATAAGGATGTTTTCAAAAGTGCAAGGCTTGACTGATTCTCCATGGGATGACAGAAAGTGCTTGCATTATCTCAAGAGTGAGGCCATGACATGATGGCCATTCCAAACAGAGATACTCTGTACTCTGTGACGATGTTAACAGTCTGTTCACACCTATGGCATTTGTGTTACAGGTAAAACAGGTCCCCCCCCCCCCCGCACCCATGATCTCAAGGTCTTTTCTCCCTGCAAAGACTCTGCTTTTTGTGGCTGCAATCCTTTATCTATGCCCTTTGGATTGCATCTGAAATATATCTCTGTTGAGCCCCAGTCCTCAGGCGTTCCAGTATGTGGCAGAAGAGTTAGATGAAAATGACACACAGGCTACTTCTGCGGGGTTGGTCAACTGGTCTCTTATTGAGGATTCTCCTGGCCAGAAGACACAGTTTTATAATAATCTGGAAAAGTCTCCAGCAGAACTTCCCCAGTTCAGTCAGCTCCTCCAAAGGAAATGGAGCTGACCATATTGCAAATTCTTGACAGCCTAGGCCTTGGCTTCCTGCTTAAGCAACACCTTCCCATTGTCCACTCAGTAGAACCCCTTGGAGCTCTGTAAGCATCAAGGGAGCACAGAATGGGACAGCAACAGGGTTGAGAAGAACGGCAGAAATGAAGCAGCCAGCAGGGTCCAAAAATGTGTACATGGGTGTAATATCACAAAAGGAGAAAACAGATGACTAAGTGATGTACTCCAGCCTTCATACCTGCTGAAGTTTTTACGCTTTTGCTAGATGCAGGACAGAAGGAAAATTTAAGAATTTTAAGACAGTTTGCTTATTTTCAATGCCACCCTAAGTATTTTAGATGCCCATTTTAACAAAAATGTTGACTTGTTTTCCATACCCTAATATGACTGATAATAGACTTCAGCTCATCCAGGTAATATTCTTCAATAGTATGGGGTTTGCCTTCCACTTCAAACACATACACTGGATAAAGTCTGTTGCGAATGGGAACTGCAAAATAGTGGGCAAATTCTTGGCAGCTGATTGTTGCAGACATCAGAATTACCTATTGAAAGGAACAGCATACAAACAATTTTAGAAGCCACTGAACGTGACTTATTACCATGCAAGTAAAACACAAAAGTAGAATGATTTATATCCATGGCCAGATTAATGGACAGGCTCAAGTCAGCGTGAAATGATCAGTTGGAAGGACAGGGAGAGAAGACAGAAAAAGAACTGAAAGAGTGAGAGGGACCAGAGTTAGTTAACAGCACAATCCTGAGCTTGTTTGACAAAAAAGAGTTCTACAAGTTCCAGCATTCCCCAGGAAGCACGCAAGTTCAGACAACATGATAATCCACATGTTGATTCACACTCCCCCATGGTCCACCCTTGAGTGGGGAACATTAAGTCTTCTGAACCCACTGTTTCTTGTTGATTGCAAGGGCTTTAAGTTGCTTACCTTGTTTGCCTTGGCTTTCACATGCTGGGGGGGGGGGGGGGCTTTTTCAGACCAGGTCCAGTTTCTTTAGCAGGAAAGCAGAAACATACTGCCAAAGCAGTTCCCCATGTATTAATGACCCCACCCACTTCACTATTATCTGTGCTTCTCCACAGTTCTCCAAGCCTCTTTCTGTATCATGTGCATGAAATTATTTGTACTGCCCAAAAGCCAAAGGTCTCTAAGCAGTTCATAACATTTAAAAACATGAAACGATAAAGTGCAATATAAAAGTTTAAAACCATGGTGCAAAATCAAAATGAATAGCACCTAGTTGCAATGCAAAGTTTTAGAATACAGTACAGACACGGAATGCCCATGGGCATCTTATGGAAGGCCACCATTGCCTTTGGGCTCTTCCACCCTGGCAAAAAATAAACAAAATATTTAGGTGAATAATTTTATTCACCTAAGTGTGGCACTTCAGACAGAGAGGAAAGGTAGCTGGAGCACCACCAGGAGACATCGTACCCTGGCGGATCCAGTCGCCTCCACTCCCCTCTCCTGGAACACTCTGTCCACCTCTTCTCCAAACTCTACCTCATGATCTCAGAGAAGCAGCCAGGATGGTCCTTTCCTCATCAGCTGTAAGGCACGAAGGGGGATCTTAGTGCAGACATCCAGCTGCAAGGTCAGAATCTCTGCAAGGTCAGAATCCAAAGACTCCTATGGCCTTCTAGATGTTGCCAATGGGCCACAGGAATGCTCTGCCCCAAATTTAGAACAAAAACTGAAAAACCAGGGGCTGGTTCCACAGAAGTTCCTCCATGGGTTGGATCAGGAACCACAATGGGTGGGAACTGTTTTGCAGGCTTGAAGTTCCTCACCCCTAATCTACATACTGCAGCTTTCTCCGAGGATCCTTGGTGCACAAAATTTTTTGCCACAGCTCTTTCAGCATGGGTCCTTTGTTTCTGTATGCTCACTGCCAAGTTCTATTCTGGCCCTGTTGTGAGGCTGAAAGGCTGTTTGGAAAGCCATGACAGTTGCTATCTGCAAAATACTGGGGATTAGTCTCCCACCAATGAATGATAGCAAGTCATTTTATTTATTTATTTATTTAGCAAACATCTCAACTGCCAGTTCTAATTTACCTTCACAAATCGTGAATTGGTGCGCAACAGTTTCCGGACCACCAAAAGCAAGAAATCCATCTCTTCAGTACGTTCATGCACCTAAAAATAATCAGATGTCAGGACCGCACAAAAAATAAGCTTATTTTACAGATGTCTATTTGGGCTCTGAGATTAACATTTTTGATCTCTTCACCATATTTAGAGAGGAGTTTGGGCGTGTGCTGTAGATTTCCACACTTCCAAATTTCCCAACTGTCCTTTCTTCCTTGCTGCTAACCAGGGTGAAGAATTAACATTAGCAGAACTCAAGGCAGTCTGCAGATAAGGTTAGATGAGGTTAGAGGCTAGTTTGCAACTCCTGATTTAAAAGTAACCATGGTAAGTTGTCCCATCTGGGCCATTTAATGCTGTGCTACCGCTTCCGAAAAGCTCAGGGAACATTCATGCTCAATAAAGAGGGAAACAGGAGGGAATTCTGGATCTCTTCACCAAGGTGGAAGAAAGAGGTTGGAAGAGGTGCTCCAATAGGTGCCGTGGTCCTAAACTGTGTAAAACCTTATATATTAAAACCTCTAGGTTAGTTGACACGCGACTGCAGTGTGCTCTTTCATCACCCCCAGGCTTACTTCATCTATGAAGATGTGGGTGAACTCTGAGAGGCTTTTGGCTCCAACTATTTTCTGAAGGAGAACGCCAGTTGTCACATAAATGAGTTTTGTGTCTTTGGTTGCAATCTTTTCTAAGCCAACCTGAAAAACATCACACACATCTCAGGATAAAGCAGTCGCATTTACTTCAACGGTATTTACACAACGTTATGAATACTGTGAAATGCTGCGATATATTCAAGTATCACCACCACCACCTTTTCTTCTTCTTGCAAGAAGCCCAAGGCAGCTTCCACAGTCCTTTCTCTTCTATTCCATTCTATCCTCACGACAACAGTGAGGTAGGCTAGGCTCGGAGTCAGCAACTGACCCAAAGTCACCCAGTGAGCTTCATGGCTGAATGGGGATTAAAACCCAGGTCATCCAAGTCACAGTCAAACATACTAACCACTACGTGCCACTATGGCCCACTGGCTGGCGAATTTTATTTATTTCATTTATGTCATTTTTATACTGCCCAATAGCCTGAAGGCTCTCTAGGCAGGTAACAAAGTAAAAAAAACATAAAAACAAACAACATATCCCAATAAGGCAATAAACCAACAAAAACCCACTAAAACAGCCAGTAAAACAGCATCCCCACTGCCACCATAACCAAATTGGAGCACAGGTGAAGCAGTAATATAAAAGACAGCATTAAAACTAGAATTTGTCTGTTAAAATACCTGGGGAATTTAAAAAAAAAAGGGTTTCATCTGGCATCAAAAAGAAAAAGAGTACAGGTGCCAGGAATACATCCTTGGGGAACTGATTGCATAAATGGGGTGCCACCTGAACACTAAGGGTTTACTATTAAGAATATGATTAATGATTAAATTTTTAAAAACCCAAATTTAGCCGAAAGGTTGATCTGTAAAGAAGCACACCCATTAAGCTCCTGGCTCTGAGCAGCTGCTTGGCCCTCAACTGACCATCACCAACAAGAACCTGCCCTGGAACAGAAATGTGTTCAGAAGAGCAGGCAACAAGAAATCAAATTAGGATTCTTTCTGAGGACTCTGGAAATTAGCCAAGAAACAGCACAGGTGACACTTCAACAGCATCCTCTACTCAAACCCTGTGGAAGAGACTACCATACCTGGTAGCCCACCAGTTCGCCCAGAGGCCAGGACCGCTCCTTGCTGATCCACCTTGCAATGCTACTGGCCCCGATCTTCCTCGGCTGAGTAACAACGATGTTGCAGTAGATGGAGTGCTGCATACAGTGATCCAGGACATACTGGGGAACCTGAGTGCTTTTGCCGCTCCCAGTAGATCCATGTACAATGATCACCGAGTTCCTTTCTATCAAGGAAATTAACTGCATGTAAAAGAATTCAGGAAGAAAATTAGAACTGCATCATATCAGAAGGATGATGGACCACCATTTTAATTTCTCTACTTTTGTCCTATTTGACTACTTTCAGTTGGTTCTCTTTGCTCACCCAGAGACTGAGTCAGAGCATGGGTTAAAGCAAGTTTGTCTTCTGTCCCCCATCCTATATTATTCTCAACCCTTTGGGAATCCCAGAAAGCCGCCTCTGTTCCCCCAACGCCTGACCTCAACCACAATGGATGGGTTCCTGACCTTTGTGCAGTACCAATTCTAAAAGGTTGAAAGGGCTACTTTCAGGCTTAGTTACAAGCAAGTGCGTGTTTCAAGCTAAAATAGGTTAGCATGCCTGCCCCCACTAATCCGTGCAATGCAGCCCCTGAGAACTAAGCATGGTCTTGTGGTGGAAAGAGATTCCCCACCCCAGCTTTCGGTTTTCCATATGGCCTTCTCTTATCTTATCAGTTCTCATTATTCCCCTGTCTGTAACATTCACTCATTCAACTCCAACATCTTCAGTTGCCCCAAGTTTCCTGTCCTCTTCATGACCCTACCCAGTCTGCTTATATGCCCCACATGAATAGAACCGCTTTCCGGAAATCTATATCTGCAGTGGGGAGCTTGGGACCCTGTGGGTTTTGTTGGTTTTACCATCCATTAGTGGAAAGTGCTATTAAATGATAGTACACTGGAGAGTTATGCTGAGAGGCCAAGTCATCAGTCTGGCTGCCACATCCTAAATAATGCTCCAATTAAGCAGGCAGCCTAACTCTTTGGAAGAACTCAACCTGGAAACTACCAAAGTATAAATAATTGTGGCAACACAGTTTCCCATGATAGGAGTGCAGCTGGCACACCAAGCAGAGTTGAAGAAAAGGACCTTGTGCCCCTTCCCATCACCTGAGCATCTTGAGTAAGGGTCAGTTTTAGCAGCAACCAAAGGGTGAACCTGTTCCTTAAAAGGAAAGGAACACAAGCCATGGCCTGGGGAGGGGGCTGCAACTGCCCCTAAGGTCTTAGCTACAGCCCCCAAGGATTCTTTAGTCCCTGCTCCACACCACTGAATTCATTCCTCTCTTTTCTCTTTGAAAGAGCAAGCTGTATAAGGATTGCTGGGGGGATGAGAGGACAGACAGCAATCCTCATACAGACTGTTCTTTCACCACTGCTGCTACTAGGGGGGAAGAGCAATGTTTACCAGGATCACTGGGAGGGGAATGCATGCACTGGTAGCACCCAACTCCTTAAGTCAGCATCAAATGCCGCCTCTGGAGGTGAAAGGCCGTGCACCCCTGAATAAGAGGAATGCAGGCACTATCCAGAAAAGCAGGTTGCTTACCTGTAACTGATGTTCTTCGAGTGGCCATCTGTGCATTCACACATATGGGTGCTGTGCCTGCGCAGTGCCTAGGCTGGAAGATTAGAAAGCTAACGGTTTTTGGCAGGAAAAAGCTCCGCTCCCTTACCCCACAGAGTGGAGCATCCGCCATTTTACTCAGTCTTGAAGACCGACATTCGCCCCCTAGTAGGCAATGACAGTACTACAACAAGCAACATCAGTACCGTAAAATTAGTACAGGACCGATATAAAAGAACAAGCCCACTCACCAACACCATGTGGGGCCGGCGGGTGGGTTGTGTGAATGCACAGATGGCCACTCGAAGAACATCAGTTACAGATAAGCAACCTGCTTTTCTTCGTCGTGGCCTCTGTGCATCACACATATGGGTGATTAGCAAGCTTACCAGACTCGGAGGAGGGAGATGTTGTCACTGAAGAATGGCAGAGAGCATTGCTCTGCCAAAACAACAGTCCTGTCTGGCGCGCACATCAAGCTGATAATGCTTGGCGAAAGTACACGGAGCAGCCCAGGTCGCGGCCCTGCAAATATCTTGAATTGGGACACCTGCAGCAAAAGCCAACGAAGTCGCTATTGCTCGCGTAGAATGGCCCCTCGGGAGTGTAGGTAAGTCCATTCTTGCCAACTGGTAGGCCAACACTATGGTCTGTACAATCCATTTAGATAATCGCTGAGAGGAGACTAGAGAACCTTTGTCATTATCAGTATATTTAATGAAAAGTCTGTTAGAATTCCGAAAGGATTCTGTGCAAGATCTGTAAAAAGCAAGGCAGCGCTGAACATCAAGTGTATGGAGAGAGCGTTCAATCGGAGTCGATGGAGATGGAAAGAATGCGGGCAAGACGATATCCTGATTCAAATGAAACAATGTTGCTACCTTAGGAAGAAACGCTGAGTCCATTCGAAGAACCACCTTTTCTTTGTGGAAATTCAAAAATGATGGGTCTATGCATAGAGCACAAAGTTCACTGGCCCTTCTGGCTGAAGTAAACGCAACAAGGAAGGCAGTTTTCCATGATACAAGACGCAGATCCACCGTCGCCAGAGGTTCAAAGGGTGGCTTTGTTAGCGCTTGGAGTACAACAGAAAGGCTCCAAGTCGGCATGACCAGGCGAATTGACGAGTGTAAATTTAGTAGTCCTTTAAGAAAATGATGAATCAGAGGTTGCAAAAAAACCGATGAGCCTTGTATGGTACCACAGAAACGTGAGATAGCAGCCGTGTAAACCTTTATAGACGAAGGCTTAAGTCCCAAATGGTGAAGTTCGAACAGAAATTGTAGAATGTTCTCAACGGATGCCGATTCTGGAGAAAAAGAATGACGGTTGGCAAAGGAGGAAAATCTTTTCCATTTTGCTGAGTAAGACCGGCGTGTGGAAGGTCTTACTGCAGATTCAAGAATCGCCTGGATAACAAGACGTAAAAACGTTGGTCCCGAGACTGCTTCTGTTGGCGCCGAAGGAGGAGTCGGTTGCGTATGCAGTTGAGGAGAGGATTTCATGGATCGATATGGTAACGGAACCGATAGAGAGACCGAATCTAGCAAATGCTCCATGCTGTCAGTTTGAGCGAAGCTAGGTCCGGGTGTCGGATTGCTCCGTTGCACTGCATCAACAAGTGAGGAACCGGTGGAAGTCGACAGAAAACACCTTTGGACTGAAGGAGGAGAGCAGTGAACCAGGGTTGCCTCGACCACCATGGGGCTATCAAAATCCCTGTAGCATTGTCCTGGACAATCTTCGATACCGCCTTCATCAGAAGGGGAATCGGAGGAAACATGTAGAAAAACAGGTTGCTCCAATCGACCATGAGGGCATCTCCCCTCGAGTCCTGTCCGATATCAGCTCTGGAGCAAAACCATTCGCATACCCCGTCCGTTCGGGTAGCGAACAAGTCTATGTCCGGGTATCCCCACAACTGGAATAGTTTGTTGCAAATCATCCGGTCCAACTCCCACTCGTGGGTCGTTGACATCTGCCTGCTCAGTGTATCCGTTTCTACGTTGTTGATCCGTGCAAGGTGCACCGCCAGTAGCATTATGTCCCTTGGGATGCACCAATCCCAGATCTGCATTGACAATCGGGCCAAGAGCGGAGACCTCGTTCTGCCTTGTTTGTTGACGCAGAAGACAGCAGCCACGTTGTCGGACGCAATCTGCACAACTTGGCTATGTATAACGGTTTCAAGAGATTTGAGAGCGTTGAAAATCACTAGAAGCTCAAGGAAATTGATGTGTCTCCCCGTTTCTTGTCGATTCCAAGCCCCTTGGACCCGAAGTCCTGCACATGCCGCACCCCATCCAATGAGGGACGCATCGGTGTACAATGTCACAGTTGGTTGGGGCTGACGGAACGGAATGCCTGTAGATAGGTTGCGTGCAACAGTCCACCATGTCAAGGAGTGAAGGACCGAGGATGGGATCCGAAGAAGCTTGGTTTGTAAATCCCGTTGCGAGTGAAACAATTTGTTGAAGAACAATTGAAGCGGCTGAAGTCTGAGTCTTGCGTAAGGCACAATGGCCACTGAGGCTGCCATGTGCCCCAGTAGTCTTTGTATGGTGACGGCTTGCACTGTCCCTAGTCGTCGGATCCGATGGAAGTGGGCACACAGCGTGGCTCCACGGGATGGAGGAAGAAACGCTCTTTGCAGAATGGAGTCGATACGTGTCCCGATGAAATCGATGACCTGTGTCGGGATAAGTGACGATTTCTTAAAATTAATGCATAGTCCAAGGTCATCAAGCAAAGTACAAGTCGTATGGACGGCCGCAAGGAGGTTGTCCTTAGTCTGTGACACAGTGAGCCAATCATCTAAATAGGGGTAGACTTGTATACCCCGAAGCCGTAGGTGAGCGCATACTGGGGCCATGCATTTTGTAAAAACTCTCAGTGTGTAGCTAGAACGAACAGGAGTACATTGAATTCGAAAATATCGGACCCAACAGTAAAACGCAGGAAGTGTCTATGGGAAGGATGGATAGAGAAATGAAAATAAGCATCCTTCAAGTCCAATGAGGCGAACCAATCCCCTTTTTTCAGCAATGGAAGGATATTCTGTAAGGTGGTCATCCGGAACTTCTTTGGTTTAATGTATTTATTGACATTCCTCAGATCCAGAATAGGTCGAAGACCACCGTCCCGTTTGGGGACCGTAAAACATCGAGAATAGAATCCGTGAAGCCCATCGGTGCGAGAGAGTTGCCGAATCACACCTTTACGAAGAAGCTGGTAGACTTCATCGCACAAAACCAAAGATGGTGGCGTAAATTGGATAGGGCTCGACGATGGAATGGTGTCGAATTCTATTCTATATCCGAGCTGAATGATGGACAACACCCACCTATCAGATGTAATGGACTCCCAAATGGGGAGTCAGCTTTGGAGCCGGCTCCCAAAAGGGAAAGGGGAAGGTGGGGGGTGGAAAGATGAATTGGTTCGCTGGGACCGTCAATGAGGGCATTTCTCGGAGTCGAAGTGCCAACGGCCCTGGGAGAAGCGCTGTTGGGGCTGTTGCCTTCTATGCTGCTGCCTCTGCTGGTAGTGT